ATTTATTGTGTGTCCTTGCCTTTATTGTTCTGATTTTTGTTTTTCGAAACAGGGTGTCTCCATAAATCAAGCCCTGGCTTTCCTGGAATTCTTATCTGTAAACCAGGCTGGCATCGCACTCAGAGAGCCACCTGCTTCTGCCTCCCAAATGCTAAGTTTCAAGGTATGTGCCACCACCGCCTGGCTTTGTCTTTGAAACGGGATCTTTCGTAGGTATAGTTAAAGCTGTAAAGTTGACCTTGAATCTTTGTTCCGCTTTCGTCTACCTCTTAAGTGATGGGATTTTAAGCCTCTCTTCTTCTTCTATAGCTTTTACTGTTAATTTTAATTAACTTGTATATCTGAATCTATTAAGATTCGTCAGGGAAAAAACTGTTCACACTAGATACTGAAATAGTATGTGTTAAGTCACAGATGCTGCCCTGTAGAGGGGATAAGCTTCCTTCTTTCCTATCTTGTGCCTCCCCTAAGCTGCTAAACTGCTGGCGTGTGATAGCAGGATGGGACAACGGAATTACCCTCCTAATGCTTCCTTCACTAATCTGCTAGGCTCTGAGACCCCTACTCTCTAACGTCTATAAAGGTAATTTCCTTTGTTCTGCAGATTCCTGTTGGTCTCCTATACCAGCTCCATCTGCTTCAATTAGCTGGTGTAATTCAAGGACGTGGTTACCAGAAATCCAGCTCAGTACCAAACCTGGAAGGAATCTTTAATATTTAAGACAATATATCTGTCTGGCTGTTTATTAAATCTATGTAGCCACAAGGCCAAAGAACATGATCTGGCTAGAGTCGAGCTCAGGACTGTTTTGGCTAGTGTAGAATTGTGTTTCCTCAGTGAGAAAGCAAAATTACTCTCTAACAAATAACTATGATCTTATTCTACAGATAATTAAAGTGAGACTGTCTTGAGTGACTCCCCCCACCCCCAAGTCACAGCCAGGAATAGCAAAGGCTACCTTAGTTATTTGTTAGTTTGTTTGTTGTTTATGTGAGATAGGGCCTCACTATGTAGCTTTGGCTTAGCCTGGTTGACCAGGCAGTCTTGTTTACTTTTTGAGACAGAATCTTTTGTAGTCCAGGCTGGCCACCAACTTGCTAGGATAACTTTGAACTCCCAATTCTGCTGCCTCAATCTGGATTACAGACACCACTCCCCTTATTTATTTTGGTTTGAGTTTTTGTGTATATGTGCGAAAGTGGAGGCCAGAGGTCAGCATCAGATGTCTTCCTTAATCCCTGTGCTCATTTTTTTTTCTTTTGAGGTGGGTCTCTGACTGAACCTAAAGCTCACCAATTCAACTACATCAACTGGTCATCCAGCCCCAGGTGTCTTCCTGCCTCCCCAGGGCTAGAATCACAGATCTGAGCCACCAGACCCAGATCCTCAGATTTACATCTCTCCAGTGTAGGGAGACACCTTAATCATGCCTCCTAAGGGCTGGCTACAGGAGTGCCTGACCCGGGCCTGTCATGGTGTGGTCAAGGTGATGTCAGGGTGACGTGTGAGAGGTTTAAAGGGACAGACAAGGTACATGGTAGCTCTCTTTTCCTTGCTGCTTTGGCACACTCTGGCTTCCTGTTGGTTGGCATTTACCTATTAAAAGTTATCCTAATCTCACGGACTACGCATTAGTTATTCACGGTGATACCCCAGCACTATTTTGTTGTTAGTGTGTTTTTATTGTCACTGCTATTTGTTTGGTGTTTTGAGATGCTCTCAGAGCTCTCAAACTTGCCACATAGCTAAGATGGCCTTGAGCTTCTAACCACCCAAGCACTGGAATTAATAGGGATATGCTACCATGTAGAGCATTTCTTCCTTTTTATCAGATGTTTGAGCCCAGCACTCAGTCTGTTGATTCAGTTGCAAATTAGCAGGATAAAGGTTTAAGTGGCCCAGTCATCGTGTACCTGTAATCCCAGCATTCAAAGAAGCTGTGGCAGAGTTAAGAGTTACAGGCAGGCCAGCCTGGGTTACATAGAGAAGACTTTGCCTGCAAAGGAGGAGGAGGTGAAAGAGAAAAGGAAGAAGGAAGGAGAGGAGAGGAAAGGAATGTGGAAGCAAAACAATAATCCCCAGAAGTCCTGTTCTCCAGCTCTGCGTCCCGTATACATTCATCAACCACTCTCTGAGCCCTAGTGCCTCCCTCCGGCAGCCCTCCTGCTTCTGCCGTAAGGAGACTTAAGTCCCTAGAACAAGGCTTTAGAGCTGTGACTGGAGGACATGGTGGGGAGGAGGGCTGTTAATTTTAGCCTGGGGTTCTCCAGCTGGCACAGTTTCTTTCCATCTTGAATCATTTCCACACCCTGAGCTCTGCTGGGAGATCCCTGCTCCTGGGGGCTTCCCCATCCCCTGCTTTGGTATGTGCCACAATGGTAAGCATTCCAGAAACGTGCCCGGGAGAACCTTGGCTGAGTCATTTGATGTACTCAACAAAGAGGGTTTGGCGATAGAAGATGACTCCTCCAATCAGGCCTGTGACGTGTAGCCTTCAAGAAACTTTCAAAAGAGCAGCTTGGCCCTTGCTTTCTTTCCCCTCTATAACTCTATTACCCAAAGCTGCCTTAGGACTTGAGTCTGTTCAAGTTTTAGAAAAGAGGAAAATTAAGGTCTGTTCCCCAGGGCCCTGTGCGTTGTCACTGTTAGCACTGACTCAGTCTAGCACAACTCTAGGCAATCCAAATATCCAGACTGTCCTTTCTCCCACCTTTCTAGCCTTCTGCCTTTCCTTTGGGGAAAAGGAACAGGGGAGATTTCCAGTGTCTTTAATGGTGTGTTTAATTTATTTAAATTTAGAGGGACTGCAGCCTAATCAGACAGCAATTAATTCCTTCTTCATTAGGGGACTTCATGTGTGCCTTTTGCATATGAATGAGCCACAGGGTCACACTGTCCCTTTAAAGAGAGAATTGTTGAAGGTGAGAGCAGGGAGCCCTCCAAACAGGAGTTCCTTGCCCTTCTGCACCAAATGCTCTTTCCTTTCCACTCTCCTCTGGCAAGGGCTCCAGCCCTGTGGGGGAAGCTGGAAAGGTTAAGGAGGCGTCCCTCATTCCCCGGATCCCTTTCCTAACACGGCCTGTCAGCAACATCCCCTGCACCTTCAGTTTCCTCCAGCTCCCCCCCTTCTTCCTTCCTTCCTTCCTTCCTTCCTTCCTTCCTTCCTTCCTTCCTTCCTTTTTCGACAGGGTTTCTCTGTGTAGCTTTGTAGACTGGATTGGCCTCGAACTCGAGATCCACCTGCTTCCCTTTTTTCGGATACCTCTAGGTTCCTTAGGTGTGTTGACACCTAGAAGCCTCCTCAGAAGGCTTCTTCACCTCCTGCCTCTGCTGGTTGGTCATCACTCTGGCCAGCTTGCTGCTTTCCTCTGGGGAAGTTCGTCCTGAACACCACTGTTGTCCTGAGAGAGACACTCCTTCCTCCCCATACTCCTCACCGTGTGCTTTAGGGGGTTCAGCCACACCTCCCTCAATATACAGCACAGCTCCCCAGCATCTAAAACACACCAACACACACACACACACACACACACACACACACACACACAGCATTGCTATTTATATCTTCAAAGATGAAACACATGGAGGCAGGTCCAGTGCAGGAAGCCCACACTGCCCTCTTGGATACTATATTGTCTCCTTCTTCCCTGGGGCTACCCATTTCCAGGGAGCAGGTGAGGCACAGATTAGGGGGTGAGCAAGGCCTGGGTGGTTACCACAGCAACAGAGCCTAGCAACAGCTGAGGAGCTGATGTGTGGGCTTCACTAGGGCTGTTAAAGAGCCAAGCCTAGAATTGGGACCTCAGAGGTGACTGATCCCAGCTGGGCAGCCTGTGTTCCCTCCCCAGACACACCCCTTGATTCCACCCCCACAGCCCAGCAAATGCCTTCCTCGCAATGGAAAAGCTAATGAGCTAACCACAGGCTTCTGGTGCAGCATAGCTTTTGGCGGGCAGTTGTGGGTAGGTAAGGGACATGTCCAGGAGCAAGGATGAAAATAAACCAAGTAGAGCACCCTCTCCTGTGGCTCACTTTTTTCTTTTTTCTCCATCTTTCTCTCCTCTGACCCTTTATCCTCTGCCTTAGCTGTCTTGTCCATCTTGGTGACTCATGCCTGTAATCCCAGCATACAAGAGGCCAAGGTGGGGGGATCTAGCCTAGAATACAGAGTGAGAGACGCTGTCTCCAATCAATCAGTCACTTTCTGGCTTGTCCCATTGCCTGTCCTAAGAAATGTCCCCCTTTTCTCTGTCTCTCTTCTCTCACTCTCTCTTGACCCTCACTAACAAGGAACAAGGCAGCCACACTCCTAACTCCAGTTCCTCTCCCGCAGGGCTCTTCCTCCTCTGGACCCTTCCTTCAGCTCCCCCGTCCTGTCCCAAGTGAAGACATCCATCAGCTCCCAGCTTCAGGTAGAGCAGGCCAGATGACAGTCTAGTCTGGAGAAGTGCCCCATCTTCCCCTTGTTAACCGTTCTCCTTCCTGCCAGTCTGTGTGTGTGTGTGTGTGTGTGTGTAGGGGGGGCTTATAAGGCAACCTAGGGCACTTAATTATCTTGCAAAGGCTTTATTTGAAAATTTTGAAACTTACATCCCACAAGATTATCACCACAAGAAGAAAGAGATAATACAAAAATATATATCACAGCATAGGAGCCAGGTTAGAGGAAGAAGGGAGGTGGAGAAACCAATGAGAAAGAGGACCTGAGGAGAGGAAAAGGGTGAGAGGCAGGAGGGGAGAGACGGGGACATGAAGGGACCCAGGAAGAGAAGGGCAGATGTGGGGGCAGAGCTCCCAATGGCCTTGAACCAGCTGGCTTCAGTCCCTGGCAGCCTAGGTACAGTTAGGGAGGCCTTCGGGAAGGGTGGGAAGAGGAGGACCTGTTCAGGGGGCTCTGAATTCCACAGAGACACAGACACACAGACAGCCCGGACAGACGGACAAGACAAGGGACTTGGGAGGGAAGGGAGGACATGGGAGTCCCTTCTCATGTAGTGCAGCAGGTGACTCCCCCAAAGCCATCTTTCAGATGGATGACAGGATTTAGCAATTGGGCCTCACTGCCCCCATTCCTATGGGGGAGCCCTCGGAGCAATGCCGGTGCCCTTGGAATGGGATGGATGGAAGGACAGTGAAACCTAAGACATGGAATGAGATGCAGCCATGACAGACGGCCCAAGGAGCCCCTAGCTCACCTCCCACCCACCTCTAGGGCAGCATGCAAGGGCCACAGAAACTAGACCAGTGGGTGTTGAGGCAGAGTAGGTACTCTATGCCATGTATTGGGCCAGAAATGCACAGCCCAGTCTGAGTTGGGCACAGAAAATGCAGAGGGGGATAGAACATGTGCAACAAGAGGGAGAGAGAGAGAGAGAGAGAGAGAGAGAGAGAGAGAGAGAGGGAGGAGAGAGGGGGGGAGGCTAGGAGCCAGCTGAGCAGCCGTGGACGGGGACACAGAGCAGAGCAGAATGGAGAGCTGAGAGTGTGCTATGGCCTGTGAGGGTGGACGGTGGAGTGTGCAAGGCTTTTATGTGAGTGTGCAGGGTGGGGGTGGGGGACCCAAAGTCACAAGTGTGGGAAGCCCCCAACCACTGGAGGCAGACAGTTGGGCTTGCCCATGGGGTCAGTGAGTGTTCCGGGTGGTGTGCAAGGGCAGGGGCTGGGAGCCCCCCACCATGGTCCCAGTTCCCCACGGTGGCCCCACCCTCAGTGGATGGTGGCTATGCTGGCCACTTGGCCTCCTGCTTGGCAGCACCCCAACATGGAGGGGGGGGCATCACAGATTCACCAGGGGAATCCTGAGAGGAAGAGGGAAAGCGCATAGTCAGGAACCAAGGGGTAGGCTGAAGCTGAAGGTGAAGCAAAGACAGCAGGTACCCGATCGGGGTTAAGGGGGCAGACTGGAATTAAAGAGTGGCACAATAGGACATGGGGGGGGACGGACTGCAGGAGTCCCCTTTCCCCAGGAGAGGATCTGACCAGCTGGGAGGCCCGGGAACCAGGTCAGGCAGGAGAGTCATGTGGAGAAGACCACCCACCCCAGAAAGACCCACTGAAGGTCTGGAGACCTAAGTTGCATTCCCTCCTCACCCTCCCATTCCACTGGCCCCTGCCCTCACCGGTTCAACTGGAAGGCTGGAGCCCCCTTGGACTGTGGCATCCCAGGCCGGGGTCCCCCTCGGGGCTCCTCATGGTCAGGGGTGGGGGTAGGTGAGTCCCCGAAGGCCCCCAGAACAGTGACTCCAGCAGGGGACAGGTCTGTCAGTGGTTGCTGGCTCTCCTCCTGCCTCAGGGCACCTTGCTGCCCTGAGGGCCTGCGCCGCTTCTGGCTGCGGTCCCAGCTTGTGCATCAGAAGGAAAGAGGTCTTTTCACACACTGGATTGCCCTCTATCTTAGGCCAGCACCTCTGGTCAACCCAGCTTCTCCCTTCTTCCCTGGCACCTCCAACTTCTCCACAGGACGGAGACTGTCCTCTGAGACCGTGCACCCATCAAACTATTCCATCTGCTTCCCTCTAAACCATCTTTGGAGAGCCACAGGCTTAGTGCCCCCTTTCCCACCAATGCAAAGCCCCTCTAAGCTGCCCCTTGCCACACTGAAGCCCAGAGGAGCCCTTTCTCTCCTCTGCAGGAACTTGGCAGATCTAGTTCAAGTTTAAAGTCAGCTAATGACTTGGGCACCTGAGTCTAATGATTCTGTCAGTAAAGTGTGAAGGACTATGTGACCCACCATTAAATGTGTACAAAGAAAGCTCCCAGTCCCCCCCTCCCCGTCCACCCCCTTCCTGGATAGAAGCCCTAGGAAAGGGTTCTGCAGCCTGGTTCAGTTTTCTCTGTCTTGGAGAGCTGCCCACCAAAGTCCCCGGTATAGATAAATAATCCCCCGCCCCTCCCACTACTCTTGCATTTTTCTGGGGGAATCTGCACTGGTTTCTCCCACTCCTCCTCCACTCCAATTAGTTTTTTTCAGTCTCTTCCCTTCATCCTTGATTTCCTACTCCCGTGAAATGGCTGTCCTTGATCTTGCCCTCTGCCCAGCCTTTACCAGCCTTCAGACATCTCCCTCGGCTTACCAGAACTTGAAGATGATGCCAGTAGCCACAAGAACAATGATAATGGATATGGTGATGGTAACATAAAGCTGAGGGTCCACACCTGATAAAGAGGGAAGACAGCTGTTGGGAGGCCTGAGGCAGGGTCAAAGTAGGGAGTGGCTGAGTACTGCCCCGTGAAGCCACATTGCCTGTCTACTCTGGACTCTGGCTCTTTGTCATCAACTTTCTCCCAAACATGACATGTACCAAATCTTACACATACCTGTGATGAGGATGAGACTCCAAGGTCAGAGAGAACCATCCTCCAGTATAGAGACCCGGGTAGAGGTTATCAGATGATCTTCTCTGGCCCTATCCTAAGCCGGCATCCAGCACAGACTGTGTGCTAACACATTGCCGGGTAGCCACCTTCCTCCATAGCATCCCTCTGCTAGGAAGACCCATTCTGTTTTTAAGGTTTATCTCATATGTCAATCGACCTGTCCCCGGGGTGAAATAGTCTCTCACTTGTCTGTTTTCCTAACAACACGCTGTCCGTGTTTCTTTTAGAGTGTTTATTGTGTTGACTCATCCCTACATGTTTACACATCTGTCTTCAACAGATGTGGGCCTGAGCTCCTTCGGAGTGCAGTTGGCATCCCTACCTCTGCATCCTTGCCGGCCTAGAACCTGGCAGATGAGGCCTCAATTTCGACTTAGTCTTCAACCACCCTCCTCACCCTACCAGCCCTGCTCACTCACCTTCTCCACGCCCCCCAAAGAGGAAGGGCCTCAAGGTAGCAGGTGTTTCCCCAAGGATGAGTCCATCTCCATCATCCCGCATGGAGTCTGAGTTGGGGTGCGGGGTAGCCAGCCCATGTGGGGCTGCAAAGCCATAGTCCAGGGGCAGAAATCCAGGATTGACAGAGTTGGGGTCCCCTCCATCCTCCCGAGATACTGTGGGACCCCACACAATAGCCCAGGGGTACTGAGATGAGGGAGGCCCTTCCTCAAAGCCCGATGGGGTGGCAGGAGGTGCAGTGCCCGGCAGAACTTGCCGACGTGATCTCGGGACCCGTGGGGATCGGCTTGGTGGAGGAGCCCGCTCCCAAACACACACATGGCGAGGGGCTGAGGGGCCACCCCGGACGCAGGGGGGACGGGCCGTGGATGGTGGGGATCGAGGGGAGGAGCCCTGAACGGGCAGTGGGAGGGGTAGCAACAGCAGCGGCCAGAGAGGGAGGAGTTGGGACAGCAATAGAGCAGGCCTATAAGAAGGGAGAAAAAGCAAGTGAGACCCGGGTCACTGTGGGCTCATGAATGAGAAGGGCAGGCTCACACCAGAAATCTCGGGCACCTCCCTCCAGGTTCCCCTGCTAAAACAGACGTGTGTTAGTTAGGAAGACCCTGGCCTCATCTTGTCTCTTCTTGGGGTGGGCGGGGGGGGGGGGGGGGTCAGCTCCCCTGAACCCCTGAATTGGCCTAGGCGGGAAAGGGCCCAATCCCTCAGGGAAAGTGGTCTTCAAGCTCCCTCTGCTGGGCCAAACTCACCACATCCTGCACTCCGTGTCTGAGGTCTTCCTCAGCTGTGACCCAGATTTTCAGCCTTTACTGGAGGAAAAATGAGGGTGTCATACCCCAACCTGCCCTGTGTACACCCATCCACCAGTTCTGCCCCTCCATGCCCCCCACTCCCACCCCACTGCACAATTACCAGCCAGCCAGCTGCTGCTTCCCAGCATCCACTGCTTCTCAGCATCCACTTAGGGAAAAACTCCCTAAAGTAGCCCCCAGCCCCACCTTCCGCATCCCAGAGGGGTCCCTGCTGCCTCCTGGCCCCGGTGTCTGTCTACTCCTGTCTCTTTGGCTTCCTTCCTTCTCACTTCCTCTGCCCACAGCTTCAGGCTTCTTGGATCTTAATTTAGAGCCAAGAACCTTGTGATTCCCTGAGCACCTACCGCTAGGGAGGGAGTTTGAGGGTGGGGGAGGGAAGGGAAGTCAATCTTCCTGCGTGTTGGAGGGCAGGGGGGTGCTAGAAGCCCTCTCACCTCTTGTAGTGCCAGGCACTTCTGCGATGAAGCCCAGAACCTAGCTGCCTTTTTCAGAAAAATGGTAGGTGGGAGAAAAGCTACAGAACATGACTTTTGTTCTTTTTTGCATAGGTGCATTCTGAAAGAGGGTGGTGTTCCAAGGAAGCCACCCCCCAACTGTGGCTCTCCTGGGCAAAGTCCTAGGAGAGTCTAGATGGCTGGCTCGCAAAGGAAGTGCGGTCTCCAAGCTGGGGGTGGAGAATCCCAGGGGTTGGGGTCTCCAGAGAGAAGGGGCATGTGACACCCTGTGTCTTCTGAATTCCTAGTCTCTATCTGCGCATTGAACACTCCCCGGGAATAAGCTGGGGAAGGGAATGGCGTGGTGGACAATAGGCGTGAGGGGTGTGATGGGCTGAGGGGGCAAAGGTTGGTCAAGAGTGAGAAGAAAGGTGTACAGCAGCTGGGAAGCCATGGGGAGGGAAGGGGGCATACAGCAGAATCACAGAGGACGCTGAAGGGAGAAGATGGCACGGAGGAGAAAGTGGGAGAACAGGCAGGTGGAGAGGGGTCGACCGGCCTGGTCAGGAAGGAAGCAAAGAGAGTGGAGGGATGGGGTTCAGAGACAAGGAGAAAGTCGTGGGGTTAGAAAAGAACATCGTGTTGAAGGCAGAATCAGAAAAGCAAGGAATGGGAATAGGGGGGAAAACGGAACAGCAAAGATGGAGGAGTTAGGAATTGTTTCTTGAAATTTAAAGGCATATGGAGACAGAGCTGGAGGCCAGGTGAAAGCGAAGGAAAAGGAACGAGATAGGCCAGGGGCTTGATGAGAGGCTAGAGAAGGGAGGAAAGAAACGGCAGACGAACCGGTGGAGTGGATAAGGGCTCAGACACACCAGTAGCCGGCTGACTCCAGGACCCACCTGCCCCTCCTGCTACACCCCCCTCCCCTGCCACCAACGTCAACTCCAGCCCCTTCATACACACCCTGTACCCCTCTGTCACCCCCTCCAGGAAGTCCGCAGTCCCCGAGCTGGTGCGCCACCCCACCCCCTTCGCGCTCCTCACCGACCTGTTGTGCGCAGAAAGCGAACTGGGGGTGGGTGGGGGAACAGGGCCCCATTCCCTAGCAGAGCCCCCAAGCCCGCCAAGCCCGCAGGCCTGCACTCCCTCCACGGGGCTGGAAAAGCGGCGCGAGCCGGGGAAACCAGGAAAAGATCGGCCAAGGGATTCGGAGGCAGCACCCAGAGCGGAAAGGGGACCTGAGGCAGGAGGATGCCCGAAGCTGCAGGATGAGCTAAAGGCGGGATGGAGGCAGCCGCGGAGACGCGCTGATCGCTGCACCAGGAGGGGAGGATGGAGTCGGGACAGCGGAGGGATGGAGGGCACGCTGGAAAGGAGCCCTTGGCGGCCGGAGCCCGACGAGGGACCAGACCAGGAGGGGCTGGAGGCGAAGGGCGCGGAGCTGGCACTGGGGAGGGCAGGGCCCACTCCCTCCGGGTGGGGGCG